AATCTTCTTCAAAACTCAGATTTCCACAATTTGAATATAAGGTATAAAGGAACTATAATATGTGTGGTGTGAATGAAAACCTTTATTTTTTTCTAAAATAATTATTTTATTGTAACGCATGTGCTGCTACTTTGTTGAGAGTATTATTTTTCCTATATATATATATATATATATATATATATATATATATATATATATATATATATATATATATATATATATATATATATATATATATATATATATATATATATATATATATATATATATATATATATATATATATATATATATATATATATATATATATATATATATATATATATATATATATATATATATATATATATATATATATATATATATTCTATATTCTATATTCTTTATTCCGGGATATCATCCGTTCGCTCGTTGAACTCCGACTGGAATCCTGCAAATCTTGCATCCGACTGGAATCCTGCAGACGTTTCGCCAAAATCTCAATTGGCATCTTCAATGCTCGCGCTCCGAAAACACTTCGAACACTGGCTAGTGTTCGAAGTGTTTTCGGAGCGCGAGCATTGAAGATGCCAAGTGAGATTTTGGCGAAACGTCTGCAGGATTCCAGTCGGATGCAGGATTTGCAGGATTCCAGTCGGATGCAGGATTCCAGTCGGAGTTCAACGAGCGAACGGATGATATCCCGGAATATAGTGTCATCATATATATATATATATATATATATATATATATATATATATATATATATATATATATATATATGCAATCTACGTGGTTAACTTGGAAGAGCAAATCTGTTTCGCAAAGATAGATATAAATCATTTCAGATGAGTCATAAAACTCAGACATAATATTTGTTGTTTATTATTTAAGCTGATGTAAAATGTGTTATCTCAATAAGGAGATTATTGATATTATTAATATTGATATTTGGAATTTAGACATGCCAAATTCGTACATTCTCCCTTTTAAAAAGTCATCACTTCTTGCACGTAATCGCTTGTATAAAATTTGTGAAAAAACTCAGATTTCTACATTATTTATAGGCATAATGAGGGATACTTGATTGAAGTCGATATTAGCATGCGAATTTAAATAAAAATATAATTAAGTATTTATAATAAACTCTTCTCTTTTATTATTATTTGTATCTAATTCATCCCTACAACTACAAACATTTGAAATGAAAACATCAACAGAAAAAAGATACTTTCGAATGTTAATCCGATGTATTCAAATATTAGTAAATAACCCGAGAAAATCGGGTCCGCCCTGTAATTTAAATTCGTATAAATCGTTTTCTTGGTTTAGTGTGTTTTAAAACTATCGCGTAAGCGCGTACGTACGTTAGACGTTCAAGTACAGGGATATAAAGATAAAATTAAACCGGTTTTAATGCTGAATTTAATAGTGTTTGGTCGGCAGTAAGACTTAAAGTCAACTGTGAAAACACAAACAATTTATAAAAACTCTGTGTCAATGAAAATAATCAAAAGTCAAAACATTTTTCACCTAACCAATTCGTGAACCCGGGAAACGTAAACATCAATTTATCCTAAAATAGGTTCACCCCGAAAATAAACCGAAAAATTTTCCAGATTTTTTGAACTCTGTCGTACCAAAAAAAAAATCAAATACGTAAAGCGCCAGCGAAAAGATTTGCGTGATCACACAAAATCTGCTAATGATCGAAAGGGTTCTCCGTATTTATACATCCGGAAATATTGCCCACTTGTTAATCCGTTTTTTTCAGTCGCCCAAAATCCAAAACAGCAGTCTCGAAATTGGGGATCAAACTGAAATCCAGCGGTAAACCTAACGTGTTCCAAAATCGCTGATTAATTTGAGAGTATAGTCGCTTTTAATACGATGATCGCGTCGAATCGATTTGTTTTTCAGCGTAAAGTCCAACCTGAGTTATTAAGGCGACAATTAAACAGTTTAGTCTAGCGTAACGACGGTAAACGTCCGTGCCAGAATCGCTTAGAAAACAAAACACATCTATTATTCACCCCTTCGCTTAAGATCACCAACCTTGTCGAGACCCCCGGGTGGTGTCACCCTTTCCCGAACCTTGGCAGTGACACTTCTGACGGAGAGGGAATATACAAAACATATATTAATATGTTTAGGGGTATGAAAACGGAGGCTCTTAATAGCTATATAGTTGCATGTTCTAATTTAATAAGTGATTCTCCGACATCTCGCAGCGTTACGTTTTAATTGAATTTATTCGTTACCTCAGTGACTGCCCCAACGGGTCTCATTGAACCAGACTGTCACACACGTGATACTCGACTTACATTTTATTTATTGTTGACTTGCTTTATAATATATAGCTACTCATGAAGCGACTATGTAAAAAAAAATTGAGAAGGTCCGTTCAACGTGCGCATGAGCGAGATTAATTATTTAATTTATTAGTTAATTTTTTAATTAATTTGGAGTTTTTGTTCTTCACGTTTTACATGTATTTTTTTTGTGTAAGCTATTTTTTTTGTAAATCGGCGTAAAGCGTTAGCTTTCATAAACTCGCAGCTTTGATCTCGATTGAAATAACTTTGGGATGATAGATATCGCACAATGTCAAAGAAGTACCTCCTATAGACAAGGGATATTTCTTATGCTGGTTCTAATAAAAATTAAACTTGTAGCTTAATTCTTGTACACTAAAACATATTACCCAAACATCCTTCCTAGCCATTTAAGTGTACCTAACAATGTAGGGAATTCTGTCTAGTAAATTCAATATTTGTGTAAGGCCATTTTCCAGTCTGTTAAATGTCAAATATAGGCATTACTTTTTCTCTGAGATAATCATATTTGCCACATTTGCTGTAATTTCGTAAACGAACAAAGTATTGAAAGCACAAATTATACAAGTTTGTGAGTACTTTACGTAGATATTGACACCAACAATGAAAACAATGGCACAGGGCACATACTGTTCAGCGACAATAGTAATTAATCAATTTGCCAGAAAATTTACGGCAATGTAGCAACTCAGTCGGTTGGAGGGTAACGCATGCGCAAAAAATCCATACCTTCTCTACGAAAAAGTCATAGCCACCTGCGGCGCATCAATTTTAACCGTAGTAGGGCCACTATATTAACTTATAGCTATATGCAATCGATAGAATCAGATAGGAGTTGGGGGTTACGTTTGCTATAAAATACCAAATTTTATTTTTGTTTCTTTTTTTCAAAATAACACATCAATATCGGCTTTCTAAAACTTGAATATTTTTTCAACGAGAAATATTTAATTTAAAATCGAAAGTTTTGTGTATGTTTAACATATTTTTAGTTCTTACCGGGGAAAATACCACTAATAAGTTTCCAGAAGATCGATTAGAAGATTATTAAAATATTTATGAAGAAACCATTTCTTCAAAACCTTTTGTTTTGTTGAAAATAAGCCGCTTCCGGACGTGTGGTTTGCAATAACTCAAAGAATAATAATTATTATTAATAATAAAACAAAGTTAAAGCACTTTCTCAGTTAACCTACAATTCCGCATATTAATTATTTGATATGAGCAGCAAATTACTCAATAAAAGCAAAGCAAAACCAAAAAAAAAAGCTCATGCCAAACATGTACTTATTATTATTTATGTACATCAATTTATTTATATAAAAAAAATTAGAAAACCATTTCTTAGAGTGATGTTTTATAAGGGTATATTAGGCGATATAACAATTATAATCATATCTAAATTTAGTTTTTTCAAATGTTCAGGGCAACTGGTTCAGTTTCAATTAAGCTCTGAAGAAGATAACAGGATGATTGGTGAGCAAGTTCAATTCATTCAAAAGGAATCCAGAAGATTTGTAACTAGTATATATAATGTATTATTATTTAAGACCTATCTTTGGCTGAACTTAAGTTTAAGATTAGCAAATAACTTTTTTACGCATTTGCTGAAATGATCCGATGATCCGATAATCTTAAATCAACATCAAGCAAAAGTTACAAATTCCTAGAAAATGCAGAAAAACTTAAAAGTTCAAGAACATCCTTCAACTTTTTAGTTTTTCAGCTTTTTCTAAAGTACTTAACTTAACTCACTTTAGTTTCAATCAACTAATTGCTGGTATCCTCAGTATATTGGACCATCCAATGCATTTATTTAAATTTAGTGCATTCTCTGTATTCAGATTACTATAACTGGATAAAATTGAAGAATGGTTTTATAGTACTCAGGTTGTTAAAAAATAGACAGATCAAATTGACGCAATCTTAAAAATATTAGTTCCCAAAAAGTAAAAAACAATTCATTATTAACAAAGCTGATTTAATTAATCTAAAACAGGATAACAAAATAATTTAATTTTTTTTTCTAAATCGTTTTTCGTAGTTTTTCGATTAAACTTCTTTTGATCATGCAATTTTTATTCAAACCAGAGTCCAAAAATGTGCGAAAATTTGATCAATCCAAATTACCCAGAGGCCATGTGTCGCAACCCACCACCAGATTGGTCAATGAAAGTACTTCACGAATAGTTAAAAAAAAAGTAAAGCGATAGCGCGAAAACTACTTTTGTGTCCGGTCAAGTGAATAAAACTGAATTTTTCAACGAAATTGAATATCTATGAATGTCATTAATCGCGATACAGAAGCTGGACATCGGAAATTTTTCATAGTGTGTACGATTTTAAAATATCATTGCGTGTCTAATATTCATGGCATATAGTAAAGGAGGAGGGATGGTCCATACGTGTTCCGTATACGAAAGCGCGTATTTATGCCCAAAGTCCGGACTTCGGACGGAAAAGTTATATATTTTCGTCGCTTGAATGTTAAAACTCCATACCTACACCGAAATATACATCCAGATATATTTGTTACAACCGATTGAAATAAAATGGATCAAACTGCACATCGAATACTCGATATACAACTGCCTAATTATCATCTTATCACCTTACCACCACCAGAATTAAAATATTAGGTCTCTATGGGCGTGAGACTATAGATAAATAAAAAATCGTACTTACCATGAGGTACCCAGCCATGATTGCAGTTCTCGCAATACCGCAAACGTATCTTCCCTGGTACGAAACAATCGCACTTACAGTTTGGAACAGTACAACGCACAGTCTGAAAAGAAAACTCCATTCAGTATTTTTTTACATTCTCGAATTAGCTAATAAAAATAATAATATCGGAAGAAAAACATTCCAACTAAAAAGGAAAACATTCAGATTATACTGTTAAAAATAGTAGAGAAAATAATATTTCAAAATTGTTTTTTAGACATAATCCGCGACTATATATATAATCACATATTCTCAGAGTTATCTGAGTATCAGTTAATTCAAGTAATGTGTGTGTAGAAAATAGAAAAAAATTCCTAAATTCTAAACCCAGTAAAAAAAAAATCAAATTTTATTATTAACACCCGCGAAATTTAAACAAATAATAGCAAATAGCGTTTCAGTAAAATGGAATCATAAATGGAAATAAACAATAAAAACTCTGTGGCAAAAAGTACATTTTATAAATACTTTTAATAAGCATTAAAGTGATTATCTTTAAATTCGGGAAACTTTCATTCGGGCAAAGATATTTCGACGCGGAGCATCTGCAATAATTCTGAGATTTCCGCAACTGGATAAATTTAATACAATGATCCGATTTAATAGTTGCATGGAACATTCCAAATTATAAACGCGAATTGTTTGAACATCAACCCGAAATTCGCTGTAAGCTTTCCCGGCTCTACATACCGCCGTTCGGAAATTGCGCGATATTTAATAAACTCAAAAACATTTAAACAACGGCGGTGCGCAAGTTTTAAATTTTTGCCAGGCGACACGATACTTTCATTTTAAAAATTACATTCCGACATCGCAAAATGTCGGTTGACAGTTGATTTCTTTTTATTTGCCGACCTAGTCGTGTAATGTAAATTTTACCATTAAATATATATCAGAATATTTTTTAAAAAAACACGCTTAATCATAGAATTTTCGACTAAATTCAAGCAGAAATCTTAACAAACTCAAATACAACTTCTAAAAGAGATGTATCATATAACCTAATTTTATATTTAAATTATATTGTTCTCTTCCAAAACGACGGAAGATAATTTTAACACTCAAAATTATCATTTCCCGTGTGCCCATGTATCAATAGATAATTCGACTTTTTATTGACATTTGACATATAGTGAAATGGGGAGTATGTGTAGTGTGTGACACGCATGAGACAAACGTAATGGAAATAAGAATCGGGATAACAAAATCGATAACAGAAACAAGACCGGCCAGCCCGAGGGACGAAACATACAATTTATCCGTGGAATGGGGGGGTCAATGTAAGAAACGCATAAAACCGAACCTATTCTTAACACTTTTAGTCATCGTCCATATATCAAGCTCCCCCAACTTGCCTATGACCGTAAATGCACGCTAAAAATTTGCGCTTCTTAAAATCCATGTTGAAAATATTCAAATTGGTTCCTTTTAGTGGCCCCGGCGGTCCTATTAAGGTTGACGCCAATTTTGCTGACGTGAAACTCTCATCGGGGACCTTTTTACTCTTTCTAGACGTTAAAAGGATCAAATTAATTTTTAACTCTTATTATAGCTACACTCACCCTTCTATTATACTCGAGTGGTTTAACTTGGTTTAACTGAAACCACCTATTTCTCAACTGCCGCCTGAATTACAAAGAAGATTTGCAACAACATCTAAATATATTTTCTTGAAATTTGGTGAAGACACTTGTTGACAAATACTTCATGGTGGGCATTTTAAATGTGAAAGTTAATATTTGTAAATCTTTATCAGATTATTAACGAATGAGTGAATGAAGAAGTTTATTAGTGTGTTGGCATGTTATATTTTTTCAACGACCATTAGGTTTGGGTACATTTCTGCCAAACAGCACAATTATATTCACAGTCATAATACCATTCGCAACTAAACTCTACCCGTTACTAAAATGACATTAACTGAAATTTTTTAATAAATAAGGTGAAATATTTAGCATAATGTTGGTGCTGGTTAATTGAGCATTTCTTAATTGACTAGTCAAATTCGATCCAAATGTTTTAACATCTACCATTATTTAATAATGATATGTATTTTATAACAGAACAATATATAAAATAAAGATAAATCAAAACATATAAATTTAATTGTATTTTTAAAATTATTTCTGTCAATTGACCCAAGAAAGAAACCGGTCAATTCCACAATGCTAATTTAACACCATTTTTCATACTTTTGATTTCAAAAAAATTTCGGAAGGTTTCTTTCGCAATCAATTAAACAAACATAACAATTTTACTTGTCTAGTTGCTAGTCTAAAAAAAATACTGGAAAAGTAGAATCGTCTGTAATGCAAACAAAATGTCATCCTGAACACCACATCCGAAGAACTACAAATAAAAAACAAATCTAAAATCTACATTTATAAACACCCTGTATATAAAATCAGTGTTTAAATATACTTCACACGTACAAATTTTAAAAATCGTTGTTCATGAACGTCGTTCTTTGTATAGTACAGGATTTATGTAGCGTTGTTGTAAAACATCTGCAATCCTATTATGTGATTTTTAAGTGCTTTTCCATAAAGGATTTTCGGGGTAACGACTAATCGATCGCCTTTCTTGGGATTTTCACGTCCAATAAGAAGACGAGCACTTTGTGAAAATTGTGAGCGAAAAGGTGGGGCAAATATTCGACACGAGATTGTTACACCGCGTATCATATACATTATGGTCTGCCCGATGGATTTGATCCTTCCACGGCGTTCAGCCCAGAAGGTCGTTAGAGTGATGAGCATTAATGGATTAATGCGGTATTGAACTGTCAACGCCGAATAAAAACATTCAGATTTCTGCACACGGCTTATTATTTACCGTGGCCGGTTTTCGAATTCGAGACCATATAAAAATTCATAAGCTTCGCAAAAATGCTTTGAACCGGCTCAAGGAAACGAAATAATGGGCTCCCTCGCATATGTTTGTATTCCAAAATGCCAGAGCAAATGACCGCATATTAAACGTATTACCGAACATAATTACGCCCAACAAAATTGGCATATAGCACGGAATATTTCAAATGCATTTGGAGTGTATTCGAAGTGGCTTTGTGTTTCTAAATTGTTACTATTTTAAGGTTTGCGCCAGAAGCAACGTTTTCATTACATAACGTTACGTAAACATAAGGCCAGTTTTTTTTCAAGTGTTTGTACAACAATAGCGGTGGATCTTGGGGGAGAAAAACGAAAATGGAGTAATATTATCGCGTTGCGGTAGTTTCGTCGATTTAACGCCAATGAAAAAAAAAAGTGAATTGGTTTTCCGTATTCCGTAAACATTTTTGGGAGACAACGGGAGGCGTTGCTCGTAATTAGTATAATTCACCGGCATCATACGACAAAAACAACGATCACAAAATTTATAATGTCTGCCTGTGCGCGACAATTACTCAGAACCGAGATGCAAAAATTATCCCGCATGAAACCATTGTTAAGAGGATTTGTTATAACACAAACATCTAAATATACCAAGTCGGTTTAATGATATATAAACATTGTTATTTAAAATGAAATATAGTACTTATGGGCATACGTTAACAAGGTTTCTGCCGAAGAATATCTTCTTTGTTCTTAACCGCACTGGAACAACAGGTCATAAATACCGGGAATAGTAGTAAACAATATTTCAGTGACACCTAGAATGAAAACCGTGTCCTAAAGAATATTCGACAGACACCGGTCGGAATACAGTGCCGTATTAAGGACCTAGCCAAGAACAAACCAAATCGTTTTAATACTTCAATTTTTTACTTACCACTTATCCAAATTCAAAAATAGAAAACAAAATTTCGCATTTGTCCGAAAACTATTCAACAAATATAACAAACCAACAAGACTTGAATTTATTTCATAATAATATTTCATTACGATGACTACTAAAAGTATCAATCTACTTTTTTGGGAAAAGATTCTAACCTAATAAAATCTAAAAAATCTCCAGTGAATTTATCTATATTTGTCTTGGCGTTCTACAATTCTTGCTGCAATAATACTCATGCATTTTCTATAGCTATTAAAAAAAAGGACGTAAATAATTATTTATATGAAATGCCTAGAAATGTAGCCAACATAAATAAAGATTTATGAATGGGAACCAGTTGCTTGTGGCGATATTAGAATGCGTTATATGTAATTTGGTTCTGGTCGATGAATTTATGTTGTTGGAAGTGTCACTGCTGTTATCTGTAACATCTGAGGAAAATATTTATTTCAAACACCAAAAATCTCAAAATCATTGCGGCGTACTTTTTTATACACGGGCTTACTTAAGACAAATAATTTAACCAAATCCTCCAACCCAAACTAAAACATTTAATCTTACCTGAAAGTGAAATATAAAAAAGTAAGTGGTTAATTAAATATATTGCCAAAAGAGTGCATGTTTTATGCACCCGTACGGGTGCATCGATATCTCAACCCGAACACGGTCCTGACGAATTCGCAGAACAGGTTATAAAGAGCCACTGGTTTGATTTGCGATTGGTAATGTTACGCCCTCTCCAAAATAATCCCAGCAGAATTTGCAACATCGAAATATAAATATTAACAAGGCACCCTTTTTTCTAATTATGCCGATTAATCAAGTCGCCAGGGACGTTTTGATTGGAAATAATTACGCTTACGTCACAACGGTGAGACGGACCAAAAATGTCAAGCCGTATAGAAAACGGCGTCCGAAACATAATTTATTTATCTACGTTCTATTAGGAAGGATATTGCGCATCAAGAATTCCATTACTGGGACGGATTGTGTCTGAGATTCTATTGCCAAATGTCCCTAGATAGGACGTCGGTCTCTGGAGTTAAAGATTCGTGTATCGACTGCGAAGTATCAGCTGACCCTTTACGAATACAGTGTTATCAATCACATGTTTGACAACTCTGTTTTACTCTAATTACAAATGGAAAAAAATATTTTCTTACTTCATCCACATACGTTTTTTTTTCTCAATTAAGAAGTAGGTAAATAAAATGTTTAAATACGAATCCGTAACTCCTAATATTATTCTATATATATATATATATATATATATATATATATATA